AGTAACATAAAAAAATCCGTGGCAGTTTTGGTTTGGTTTAAAAAAACTTAAATTGCCTATAACTAAAAAAAAAAAGAGTTAGACCCCCCACTTTAAAGGTTATTTCTTCATCATTTTAGGTATACTTTCATATAACGGCGGCCGGTCACTTCGCCCCGGGACACATTGTATAATTTAAATTTGTTATTCGTAGTTCGTAGCGTTGGTGGTTTGCTGGAAGTTTCTTATTAATCGTGACAGTTTTTGTTCAGTTTATGAACAAATAGTAAAAAATATTCTTAAAACTAAGAAAATGCACTAAAATCGTCAAAAAATGCAAAAAAAAAATTACCTTAAAATAATCAGTATCACCCAAAACACATTTTATATTTAATGACCAACGTTTCAAAACACCAGAAAAAAAATGCCTTTGCATCAATCAAAATCCCAGCCTTAATTATTAGGAATATAATTGTTTTAAAACATCATAGTTAAAGTAAAGTTATTGTTGTATTAATTAGGTAGGTAACTAATTAGTAAAAGCACTTTTTAAAAAGGCTGCAGCAGATCGAAAAAAGCATGTAAAACAACCAAAATATCAGACAAATTTGTGAAGCTTGTGTTTGATGAATTTTAATAAAAAACAGATATGAATTTGTATTCTAGTCTTTTAAATTTTGATCGAAGCGATTTTTGATATTTGAAAAATTGAACACATATCTAAGCCTCAAAATAAAATAAATTTATAGTTATTTTAATAATTAAATTGAATATCTAAAATTGCTTCGATCAAAATATAAAAGACTAGATGATAACTTCAAATCTGTTTTCAAAAATAAATCTATCAATCCCAAGTCTTAGAATTTTGTCTGTCTTGTCGGTCTTTTGAATGCTTAAAACGCGTACTTACCTATTTAACGAAAATAGGAAGGTAGGTATCTAATTCGCACTGTATTTATTACATTCACTTTTGAACATAGTCACGCGAACGATAAATATTTATTTATTTTATTAATAAAATATACTTAACGTATAAAATATTCTTTTTTAATAAACTATTCTAGCATATTTTACAATGTGTTTGTGAAGAATAAAAGTTATACTGTAACAACATTCTACATTGAGAAATATATATGAATTTAAAACAATTCAAAGCACGCTATACAGTATTGGTACCTATAAGTGTTACCGCGCACCCAAGTAATCGAAGATAATTAGTAGTTACCATAAAAACATAAAAAAAATTGAAGAAAATATTCAATAAAATAATAATACTAAAACTTCAAATAGGTTTGCTAACATTTGAAAAATACATTTTGTATATAGGTACTGCCAAATACCAATAGATATTGAATTTCCATCTATGAAGTAATAAAAAGAAAAAATTTAAATTCATTTAATCCACAGCCCTTACCTATATTATGGTTATTCATAATATCATGATATTAATTAATATATACAGCAGTGCAGTTTTCAGTAAACTACAATAAAAACGGAAACGGCTGCGGTTAGAAACTCATAAGATTGCATGTTTACGCTATACCTACTACACAAATTAGACTCATTAAAAAAAAAAAAAAAAAAAAAAAAAATAACTGTTAATTTGCTTAAAAATTACTTAGGTATAACCATCAGTCGCAATATTTGTTTTTGAGTATTACATTTTTAAACTAGATTAATAATTTGCTTAAATCGGATAACCCTGCAATTTTCAAAAAACTCATGACATTTCAATTTTAATGTCCTATAACATCTACACTACTAGAAATACTTACATAACCCAATAAAATAAGAAAAGGTAAAAAATAGTTATGGATTGGACGATGTTGGTATAAATTTTAATACGTAAAACAGTGCAAAGGTGACCTGTAGTAGTGTAGTTACCACTGAAGGTTTTGATGAATACGTTAATTTCTTAAGAGTAAACTAGAACTATAGTTAAATTCACACAAGCCTTTTAATTATTTTTCAGCGAAACAACAATATTAGTTTTTATATTACTTTTTAGTAATTGACATAACTATGAATAAGAACACTTTATAGTTATCGATTAAAATAAATTATAGAAATACGATTTAAATAGCAATAACAATTAACATTATATATTTTTATAGTTGTTTATTTTTTTGATCTTATACAATTTATTATTATCATATTTTAACAGGTAATTAGAAGTAAATGTTAATTATATAATAACTAACAATTAGTAATAATATTTTATTATAAAACAATAAGTACATTTTTTCAATTATTTGTTTTTACATGCAACAAATAAGTAATGCTAATAGTCTCAAATACAAATAAAATATATATTATTATAAGTATAATACATATAATATATCATAATACCTATTATATATTACTATATAAAATATACCATGTAAAGTATAACATTTTAAATCTAAAACAATACTATGTATAAGTCTATTATAGTAGTAAAAGATATACAGTTTGAATAGCCAATAAAGATTCAATCGATTTATAGATACAAACTCATTGAGTCTATATCGACTATACCTATTTTATATTTTAACAATATTGTATTTTTATAGCTAAACATTTAATTATATTTTATAACAACATTTTAATAAATGATTATACTTTCAACAATCAGTTTCAGCAATCTGAGCATCCACTCGAGTGCCACTGGCTAAATCTAAAGCGGTAGCGACCACTTCTCCTTGACCACAAAATCCTATTTGTACCAATAGCTCTTTAGACAACTGAACGTCTTCATTTTTCGTAAATTTTAACGAACCACATTTTAACACTCCATCGTCCGTAACGAACTAGAAATAAGAAAACGAATATGAAATAATGTTGAAATCGAATAACATTAAAATCAATAATGATTTATGAATAATGTCTATAATGAGTCTACACGCGTACCTTAGCAGACAGATTATGTACTAGGTATATATTGATTACGATTGAATCCTGCGAAGAGTTCGCGGGAGTATATTTTTTTATGACCGTCTCATTATCCCTAATACATTCATTTTCTTCAATGAGGTAATCCAGCAAGTCTGTGCACCAACGTTTGCCATCTTTTATGACGAGTTTTTCTAAAATTATATCGTTAAACAATTGTTAATGTATATATGTATATGTATTATGTATAAGATGTCTCACCAATCACCGATGCACCGTGAAATTAGTCCTGGACAATAATTTTTTGTCTAATTAATATTTAGTTTTTTAAATAAGTATGACTTTGAAATTTCATCATTGTTTTTTTTGTCGTCAAAAAATTTGAAATATTGAAAAACCAAATTTTTTCAGTTACTTAGACATTTTTTAACCTATTTAATATGTGTCTTCATTGGGGATACAAACTTCTTTTTTAAATAAGAACCCCCTCCCCTTTTTTAGTTACTGTATTGCTAAGCAGGTGATTTTTTTGAAAATGTTAATACTTCTAAGTAAAATATCAAATGATAAGTTTCTACGTGATGTTATTATACCTATTAATCTTTAAGTATTTAGAATAATAGTCCTTAATCATGACTTTACATTAAGTATAAAATAGAACTAATAGAAGTAATATTCAGTTTAGTACCTATTATATACTTGGAAAATAAAAAAATAAAAATAATTTAATATTAATTAATTAATTACATTTTTATCATAGTTTCCTACATCTTTTACACCTAAAATAATTCTATGGACTATTGTTCTTAGTACTTTAAGTTTCATGTCAAGAATTATTCGTTTGAATTTTGATTTTATCGGATTAACATTTGCTTAAGATATTAGGTACAATAAAAATGGCGGGGTTTTCATCAGAAAAATAAAATTTTGTACTGCCACAGAAAAATTCTTTTTCAAATATAAATTCAAAAATTCAGAAATGTAATTTAAAAATAATAATTTAAAATTCCAAAAATTTAAATTTGAACAACTCATTTTCCAAAGGAAAAATAGGTGCGAGCATGTTTTGAGAATCAGCCTGTACGCATTTCAATTGATGGGAGGATATGTAGCCGTATACTGAGACACCCGTAATATGTATTGTGTATATTATATCATATTCACGGTAAAATATTTAATTTATTTTATTATTAGAAATAAGGTACATTTTATATTGTGCAAACAGTAAACAGTGATTTGCTAATCATGTATTTAAAAATCATTTAATAAATGTCAAGATTTTAGAAAATCGCTAATTCTTACCTATTGGATGAGTGTTGTCAACAAATGGTTTGATTATGCCAACGGCATAACTGTGTTTTGCTTTGTATGCCGGTGTATCCGACCTGTTCAATTCGTACATAACGGCCCCGCGCAGTACGCTGACATAAGCCAAGTCGGGTAAGATTATTTTCAAACGATCGCTAAAACGCTCGGTGATCTTTTCTTGAAGCCACAGCGACTGAGAGTACCCTCCGACCAAAAACATGTGAGTTATTTTTCGGTCGTCGTTTATAATGTTGTTGATTTGCTATATAACAATAGGAGACAAGTTTGGTAAACAAAATGACACATATATCTATGAAATGATTATCGCAAATTTTCTACAGTGGCAAAAAGTGTGCTTACTTCCGAGATGCACGCAAAGCTTGGTAGAAAAAGCGGCTCAATGGCCAAATAGTGTAAAATGAAAACACCATCCAGTTCATTCCACACGATCGCGTCAGACCCGTAATCTCTCACGGCGTCGGATACCTTTAAACATACATATCGTTACGTCATCGTTGATATTTACACAAACGCTATATTAGATTATTTTGTATACGAACGTCTTTGTCTGAATACTGCAAGTAGTGTTCGATAAACGCGTACGGAGGTCTTATAACTATTGGCGATCTCACTTTGCTAGACACGGACTTTTTAGCTTCTTCAAATCTTTGGAGGAGTTCCATATAAGCGGCAGGTCTTTGAAGTTTAAAGTCTGACATGAATCCAAAACCGAATAATGCGCACAGGAGTTTAACAAATTCTATATCTACACCTATAACAACAACAATTAAATAACGTTTACCTAATTATAAAATATGTACTGCTACTGCATACCATGTATTAATTCTGATATGGTATGATATTGTGATAATTAAAAACAGTTTATAAGGTTGTAATGAAGTATAAATGAATAAATGTATAATATAATTATAGATTTAAAAATAAAAATAATTTTATTGTATATAATATAGGAATAGGTATGAAGAAGACGGAATCAAGTTAAAATAACTGTGAAACTGGAAGATTTTTGTATTACATATAATCTACCTATATGCAATAAAACGTCCTTAAAATCAAGGTTTATAAATAAGTTATTTTTTTAACTATTTACTTAGAGATCCACAGACACCTGCTGATGGTTTATGGAGTTTACTGATTGGCAGTCGATTGACTGTACGGCACACTTGATGAATTGTTACATCTACTGTACCACCGCCACAATTAACTACTAAGTAATTATACCCTGAAATTGAGTAAAAAACAAAATAACACTTAATATTGTTTTGAATTATATTATTTAATCAGTTTAATCCCTAGTTAATTCACAATTTGAATAAATTACACTATTCATTATTTTATTACCTTCGCCTATTTCGTTTAAAACACAATAATCAGTGTCATAGGTATCCTGAAAATTAATTTTAGAAAGTACTTTAGTATTTTTGAGTCGTGCACTGCGACAATGTACAGCTGCTGCTTCAGGTTCTAAAACTATGGTCACAGATTCTGGGTTTTCTAGACTACCCAATCCGGCCTGCAATAAAATAAGAGTATTATAAGCACTTATATTGTTGATTGAAATGCAGTTATACGTATGTTTATAAATAATAAAAATTAAAATGTTGTTGCAAACCTCGATTGCAATTTCTTTCATCAATAGCCTGGTACTTTTATTCCAAACAGCCGGTACGGTTAATATCCAGGAAATCGAATCCAAACTCAAAGCTTCGGAACACCGTTCAGTGAGTTCTTCTAAAATTAAATATCTAAGATGTCGCAAAGCCTCGGTCAATATACGCGTGGCCGGAAGGGACACGCTGTTAGCAGCCATTATATGAGTTTCTTTGGATATTACCTGAAAATAATTTTAATTTTATACTAAATACGCTTCAATGGGGTATGGCTTCACTCACGTCTTTATTGTACAAAAACATTTTAAACTTATCAAAGTAGTACCACTTGTGTGCTTCTTCCGGGTGCATATCGTGGAAATAATCACGAGCCGCCGTTCCAAATGAATGGAAATTGAAATCTGGCGATAACAGCAAAGCAGTTGGTATTTTTTGACCATCGACTATCGTATCGCTTTCATCTACATATACAATAACAATACCGTTTAAAGGGTAAGTTTATTATAACATATATATCGTACGCATGTTCATGTTATAACACCTATACGACTGACTATACACCATGACGGTAATCAGTAAAAATGATCAACGAAAAAAAAAATGTAATTCCATTTTCACTTTTTGTAATGCTTTTATGCTTTTTTAATAAAATATATCGTATATATGTATAATATAAAGTTAAATGCATTTTTACTATTACAAATTCTCTATGAAGACGCGTTTATGCTTTCTTTCATTTTTTATTTAGTTTATATATATTACTACTTGATGTTCATATTAAAAATAATAATGTTGACAACAAAGAAATACGATGAATATCACTGAACAATGACGTTACTTTTGTATTGCGTATTTCGAAAGAACAGTAAGAAAAAACCTAACTTTTATACGAAATAAAAATGTGCATTTTAACTTTTAAGCCTTTAAGGCATTTTATATACATTTATTCTTACATCATCCTATCTCCATGATGTTTATACCCCCCCCCTTTCATCACAACAATTATATTATATAGCTATATGTCTATATATTTATACATATATAGTTACAGTCGGGCTTCTTCATGACGGTAATCCTGCCAGATCGTCTGAACGAATACGCGTAACCAGTGTACGTCGTACCGATATCGATGGCTACCACGATACCGTCTTCGGGCGATTCGTCCAGCACTTGGAGCTCGGTCGTATGGCATTGATCCCGGTTGACATACACTTCTTCGACCAGGTTATAAGTCTCGTTCAACGGTACCGGACTACAGCAATTGTTGTTGGATTTGACAGCGACCGGAGGAGCGGTGGCGGTGAAACTGCTCATTGCAGTCGTACAGTCATCCCCGTCCGGTTGCTGGAAACACTGCTGTTCCAGGGATAACGATATCAACCTACCGCATCGTCAAATAATTAAAACATATAGCCGATAAAGCATTTTTTGAGTTACCAGTGTTACCACGTACCTATTGGCTATTATTTATAGACGAGATAGGTATTGGTAAATTGATTAATTTAGTGCACTCGAATTTCATGTCAAAAAATAAACGTAAATTGGAATGTCCGAATTGCATGCCGTGTAGGTACTTATAAGTTAATCTTTATTCATCATGCACTTATGTGCACAACTTAAACTTTATTTTTTATTTTTATTTTCATTTCTTTTTAAACGCATGAATTGAAACTGATTAGTTTCAATTATAGAAGAGACTGATACAATAAAAACAGACCACAATAAACAATGCAATAAGTACAGTTTGGTTAAATGTTTACTAATTACTATAGAATATATAAATATTTCAATCTAGAAACTTATCAGTTGTAAAAACCCTATCATAAAGCGTTTATATTCATAATTATTATTTTTTTTAAATTAGAAATATCAAAAATAAAGTTGTGCATATATGTGCATGATAAATAAAGATAAACTTGTGGGTATACGGCATACAATTCGGATATACCCCTTTAAGAGGCGGCATGGAATTCGGACAGATCCCTCTAAGTGGCAATTAATGTCTGCAATTCGGACATTTTTTTTTTTTTGGCATGTAATTCGGACATAGTCGATAAATCAATTAATAAAGTTAATTAATATAGTTACTAACATTATGTGCAATTTTAAATTAAATACTATTAGTAATTACTTATTAGGTTTTAATAAAGTTATTTAATTATTAAAAGTGTTTATTTTATGTTTTAGTTTTTAATCAATACCAGATATTAATAATATTTATATTATCCAATTTAAGAAGGGTAATGTAAAAATAAAATTAATAGATTTTTTGGTTTCGCAAAATATAGGCAAACGTTATTTTGTCAAATCAACTATGTTATTTAAATTTAATCATTGAAATTCCGAAAATTTAGCGTATAACCTATAATTGCTGTATTTTTTTTCTTAATTGGCCCGTTTTTTAATCGGTAAAACTAAAATTAACCTTTTTAAAATTAAATTTTTTACATTGGCCTTTCTTACACCAAGCTACAGATTTATAATTGTAATCATATAATTTCACACCTGTTCAGAGTTGTGTTAATCGAGTTGGCAACATCATCTTCGTCGTATTCTATCGGGATCCCGGAATCAAGCGAATTGTACCGCAGAGCGCATTCGATGTCGTCCAGCCTGTATTCGGGTTCCTCTTCCACGCAACCTAAGACTGATATTAAAACACTATGACCTTAGCTCGTATGCAGTGCGTTTATCAAATGAACATAAACGACTCGCACGTGTAATGGTATAGGTACATATACATATGTGTCTATATTACCCTACATAATATTGTCTTTAAGTATACAATATACCTTGTTGAAATTTCTGGATGTTGTTGTGTCTGAACAGCAGTATCTCTTGTTCGAGACTAGATAGCGGATCGTCAACGAACACTCGTCCCCTCCTGCGTTCGTGGTACGACGTGTCGGCTGCTGCAAAGTTCATCATGGCTGGCGGTTCTGCGGCAGGCGGAATAAAACAAATCATATCAAATCAATGAATGGGAAGAAAGTGTGCCGGGTGTGTAATTACATCGCGGTCGTGACCAACCACGCGGAACGCTGCTACAGCAGTTAACAACAACAATACGTAAATATCAAAAGAAAAACTGACTGCGGCAAAGAAAAAAAAAAAAAATTACAGATGCATAATGAGACTTTGAAATCGTTAACGATTTTTAAACTATTCTTATAATACGAGATAATAGCCATATAGGAATAGGCGTTTTCATCGCGTTCCGCGTGGGCGGAGTATCTCGCCGTTATAATTGTCGTTTATACCTATATATGTATATGATATTATGGTACTTATATATTATGTTATATACCTATATAGGTACAGCCGTACTGGTAGAAGAATACAATAATATAACATGACAATAATGGCGAGAGTCGACAATAAATAATGTCATACCTATACAATATACATGTATGTATATGTTATACAATATAAATATTTTATTTGTAAATGCGTTATAGGCTGCAGACATAGTCATTATAAAAGCATTATGCTTATGCAAATATGTATTATTATTTATATACAGATGATACAGAAGTCGTGATTTGGTACTTTCAGTTTACATTATCAACACTTCACGAACACGAAGACAATAAACCAACTGTAATCATCTGTATGTGCACAGGGCCGTAAAGTAAAAGCAAATAAACTATTTATGATACGCGCTTTTGTGTATACTCTTATAAAATATATTAGGATAAAACAGGAAATCTCGATAACCATCGATGAAGAACTTTAGAGTTACTTTTTAAAATGAACGCGACGACGTAATGTTAAATAATATGAATTAAATATTTATAAAAATCAACAGCGAATTACTAATAAGTATAATTTCGTTATTATAACATAATTATATCGTATTTGTGTGTATACTAATTAATTTTATATTAAAGACCTGAGTTGTAAATTGTATTTGTTATACCACTAATTGCCTTGCAAGGGTTATTAAAAAATAAAAATAATATGCTAGGTATTATCGTTAGTGAAGTATAGTGAATGGTATCCATATTATAGAAAGGTATCTTTCAATTAAATTTGTAAATAATAGTAATTATTACTTTCCAAAAACTATTTTTTTAGTGACAAATTCGTTTTACGATATTGTTAAATATCATGTCAAAATAAATTGAAAAAAAATAGAAAGAAGGGAATCGTCACGAATAATTAATTTTTTGTTATACAAGTAATATTTTTATAAATTAAAAATATATGAATGTGATGGTGCATTAGTATGTGTATGAAAAAAGACATAATTCACATACTGAAGAAGTTTATCTGAATAATCTGATGTTTAAATATATCTTATGGGAGAAACATCTTGATCATGTAATAATTAAATTATAGAAGTAAAAGCCAACAGCATAGGTAAGTATATAATTATTTTTGTATTAAGTTTTAGAAGATATCAATTACCCAACGACTAACATTAAGTATAATCACTGATAACAAATAGGAATTAGGTATTTAAATTTCATAATATTATATGATAAAAATAAATTAAGAAGTTGAATTGAATTACGTATTAAGATATTATTAAGAGGTAGTTACTATAATATGATAGCTATCTATATTATTGTAGCCATAGTTGGTAGGTAATATATTATAATATATACGATTTAGATACCATATTATGAGTACATACATTTAATAATTTTTTTTTTTTTTTGTATATTTAATACTTTTTTTTTATGTTGTTGTCTGTTAAAGTAAAAATTAAAATTTTTTTAAGTAATCATGATAAAGAAATGCTTGCGAGTTATGATCGAGTGTAATTATTAGGAAGCAAATGTTTATGAATTAATCATATTTCTTATAACATCTAAATTGATGAGGAGTAAGATAGAAATTTGTTTCATTAGGTACTCAAATAATTCAAATTCTTAATTTAATTTTGCATATTTTTGCATATTTGTTCGATTTTTACTTGTTTGATCATATTTTTACATTCATTGACTTTTAGTGTATTTAAAGTTTTTTTTTAAATATATTACGTTGAATAATCAGCATACCGATAACGTACGATTATTTTTACCAAAACTGGAAAAACCTGCGATTGTATTTTTTGATATATTGATTTTTTTATAGTACCTATTGTAAAAATATAATTTGTTAATTTATGTCAATACCTACTTCAGATGTTTCAATTGTTTTCCACGTTTCGTTGGCTTCGTTTTTCTTCGAAGAAAGTTTTTATATTTTACAAAGCTTTACACCTGTTTATTTTAAAATTTCAACTCGTCATGACTGCATAATTTTGTTTCTGAATTTAAAATTTTTTCTACCGATGTAGTTATTTTATACTATACATAGTTTAATATTTCAGTAAATAGTGATAGTGATAGACTAAAATGATCCATATCACCTGCATTGTATACTAGTATAAATAGTACAATGCAGGGGAAGTTCATAAACATTTTTCAAAAGTTGATAGTTGATTAAAATTTCTGATGGTAAAAAAGTATTATTAAAGTCTCCATCAAAAATAAATGCTTTTCAAACTATTGATCCTGAAATTTTTTTACCGCCTCAACAGTAGCGAAACTGGGAAAAAATTTAGGGGGCAAATAATTTATTTACCATGATCAAAACCTTGTATATTTGTATACGAGTAGTTGGATTATTTGAGAGGAGGAAATGATATCTTTGCCCTTCGCAAAATTGTCAGGGGGAAAATGCCTCCCTTGTACCCCTACAATTGCGTCTCTGTGCCTAAATCAATAGTTATTATTCGTCGGGGTACATGGTTGGACGCAGTGGTTTATTAATATGACCATTTTGATACATTTTTTAGCTATTTTATAAAGATGATGCAAGTTTCATTAAAACATTTATAGATGATTCAATTATAACAAATGATTTAATTTGTTCTAACACTTCGGATTTTTAGAGGATAAAATTACTAGCTTATAAAAACAAGACGTCCTATTAACTATATTTTAATATAGTCGAAGAAGTTGAAGTAAAAACTTTTCAAGTTCCAGGAGATGTGGAAAAATCTATACCAAATAAACTAAGTAGGTACTGTTTTTGATAAAAAATCATAGACTGAAGACATTGAACATAATTATGAAAGGAAAAAACATACTATTCAAGATTTTTAAGAACTAATTACATCAGGTATACCATATTTCAAATATGTTCGTGTCTCGTCTATAGATGTAGCACGCAGTTTTTCCAAATTCAAAATGTTGTTATTGAAAATTTACTTTTAATAATTTAAATAAAACATTGATTATTCCAATTTCTAGGTATGTTTTCAAATGTAATATGTATTAATGATTGATTATTATTACTTGGTTTCTATATAAATAATATATATACCCTGTATATTTTTTTCTAATTAAACAATACAACAAAAGCTCACAAAGTTTAATTTTAAGAATCATTTTTTACTACTTTTAATTAATAAATAAAATAAGTTTTAAATAAATAATATTATTGATGCATATTTTTAAGCTTTATAGTTCATAATGCATAGGTACCTACTTCTTTTTCAGTTTAAAAACATCTGCTGCTTACCAACTACTAAGACTAGGAATTTAATGCACTTAAAAAGTACTAAATATCCTTTAAAAATATACACTTTTCTTGTTTTTTTTATTTCTACTCAAAATTTTCATAAATACAAATATTTTTATTTGTTATACATCATTTGTACTAAATATTGAATAATAAAATTGGGAAATTGTAGGTAAGTCAAACAGAGATTTTAAAAACACGATACAATAATACCTAGATAGTTAAAACTCTCTAAATAAATATACATTATAAAGAATTTTTTTTTTTTATTGTCAGATTTTCAAATTGTATTATAATCATACTATCAATCATTAAATATGCTCTTAAAACAATAAAATCACTAAATATGCAAAAATGTGCACTATAAACTTTTAATATATTTTTTATAGTGTTATGAAATTAATTTCAAACTTAATTAGCTATAAATATAATAGCCCAAAAAAATTCAATAACTTTCGTACTTACTAATTACTAATACATAAATAGTCATAAAACTCTTAATACATCAAATTTTTATAAGATTAAATTTAAAAGACATTAGATAGTTCGTTATGAAGATATAGGTTGGTAGGTAAATAGTTAATAAATAGTATGACTAGGTCACTAGGTGCTGTAAAGTTTAAATAATAAATATGATCTCTTTAAAGCGTACCTACTATATATTGTAATGTGTTGTAATAGGTCAATGTACATTTTTTTTACAGGAAGTTTGTAGATAGACGTACAAATTACAAACTAATATGGGTGGGCACTAGATAAGCGATAGGTAGCTAAGGAAAAGCAACAATTGATTCGTCACACACCGTCCGCGATCTTTCAACACAGGAAACCAATTCGTTATGAACAGAAGATCTAAATACATCTTTGTATTTATCTAGGTATCTACGGACTAGCCAGTTACTAATGATAATCGTTTGATTTATAGTTTAAGTTATTTAGACAATAACGGTAGGTACCTATACCGGCTATACCTTATATAGGTAGTCATTATGTTATAGATAATTAAGATGTTAAAACCAAAAATGTTAAGGTTATAACATTTATATGTTACAAAAATTAATTGACTTCGAAAAAAAGTCTCATGTTATAGTTATACACTGACTTGTGACTACCCATTAACTTGGTAGTTATTGATAGATACCTACTTACCTAGTTACTAGTTAGTAGGTAACTTATAAAGTTATAACCCATCATAAGTATCTACATTAAACAGTTAACACACATATGATACATATACATATTATCATTCAAGTGTAACCTTGATATGGTCGTTAACGTTGCAGACTTTTTGACAATAGGTTAGGCTGTCAGAGTATTCATCATTTAATACGCACAATGCATACAATGAGACTAAGAAACGGTACTGTTATTCAATATTCTATTCATATTTATTTACCTTGTAGTGTTATGAAATTATTGCATTGTATTTGTGTAGGTAGCCTTAATTTTTAAATTTTCAACATTATTTTGAAAGTTTATAAGCGGCTTAAACGCTTTAAATATGTATAAGGCGTATAAAATACAAAATATTAATCTTATACAAAAACCCATACATATAGTTCAAATTATAAATTATATTTATTAATTTCAGAGCAATTCTGCACGTCTCTGTGAGATATTAAGAGGACAGTCCATAACAGGTAAATGTTGAATTCAAAATAATTCATTTTACTATATTATTATTTGTAATATTTAAATGAATTAACTTATTATCAAATTTAAACGTAAGAAAATGTTCTAAGGTCCCAACGATTTATTTCTTTTATTTTACTTTCTATACAATTAATGAGTACTTTAAAGTTTAAAATTTTAATTGTTATCTATATTAATAATTATTTTGAAATGCTTAAAGTCTTAAGTTTGATTTTAGTTAGAAATAGTAAACAATAATAAGTAGCCTATTTTTGATTTCCAAAAAAAAAAAAAATATAATTACTTATCAAATGTAAATAAATCTTGATATGAGTGAGAATATTATAATAACAAATTAAAAATTAAAAACGGTAAAAAATTTGGGTATGAAAATTGTACTATATAATATACCTATTAAATATTTAATACTAATACGTACTATTAATAGTTATAATGTTACAAGGAATACAACTTTGACTTACCTCTGCGATCGTGTATTTGGTACACTGCAGCCTCTGGTTCGATTGCATAGGCAAATTCGCTTTTTTTAGAGTTCGTAAACATTTATAAATTTATTTGATACAGACATAAAACAAAGAATATAATGTGTTCACTTGTAACTATGTTTTAATACTAACCGAATAACGTATGAATACGTCAGTCATGAAAATCTCTGGACCGTGCTGTGGGGTCTTCACAGTCCAGGAACATAGTAAATGGTAATTTTATACAAAATAGCAGGTAAAAACCTAATTTTTATTTGGATGGAGAAAGAGAAAGGACTATATTATAGCGGATATAATATAGAGAATAAGAGAATATATTAGGGTCAAGAAGCTAAACGCTAATTAAATTACTGCCCTTAATTTGTTTTCAAACAACTCGATCTATTGTACGTGTTTTTTAGTATTTAAAGAATTCAACTTTTTTTTTTTATATATATTACCATAAAATCAGTCATCCATAACTATAATAGTTAATACTTTAATACTATGCTCTATTGACCCACTGTACATAATAAAAAATAGTGGTCAGTCAGTTTATTTTAAATAAATTATGTTTCGTTAATAATTGAAATATAAGATATAAAACATGGAATAACATTTTTTTTTTAAACTTAAGTCAGTTAGTTATATATTTAATTATAAAAGTTAGAAACACATAAAAATTTAAAATACTGATTAAAATTTACAATACATATATAAATAAAATTTGTTATAGGTAGCAATATTTTATTCTCGAGAACTTTATAATAAAAATCGAACTTTAAACATATTATTTTGTATATTTTAAAAAGTTGAATACATTGTTTATTCTTAGGACAACACAATAAAGATTAAACGACTTAATATAAATAACAATTATTATTTAATTAACTCAGCATAAACACGCTTGAAAGACTTGGCAGGCTTGTTGTACAACTGTAAAAAAATAATGAGGATACAATAACTATGATGTCAAATCAGAGTTCTATAAAGCAGATCGAAATAAATCATCAAGACTAAAAATAAATACCTACCTAAGTCTTTAAAGTTTAAGATAATTTTTGTTCAGTATTTTAGTCTTAAATTATTGTAAAAATAAAAACAAAAAAATAACTTTTAGTTCAAACGTAGGTTTAAAAATACAATATTTAAATAAGATGTAACAATAGGGACGATTATAACAAAAAATAAATAAAATTTATTGAAGTTATGCAGTACCATTTAGAAATTTAGAACTTAAGGTAAGTAGTAAGTACTGTTGAAAATTTGAACATATAATGATTAACGGTATGTATAAATATGTTTAGTATGTACGCGCGGTCGGGTGTAGCTCTTATTAGTACCACTTTTAGTTCGGTCGTTAACCCAAAAGATTTTATCGTATATGGACTCGCTATAACAGAGAATGTACGGTAAGATCGTCAAATAAAAATATATTGTCATTATTGAAATTTTTGTGCACCAAATATTTTTATTATTTCCTGAAAAACAACACTATTACAGTACTAATTATTATTAACAAGCTTGAGTAAGTCGACGTCATCTTCTCAATGAGTGACATGCAATGGCAGTCGAAGACAATAAATCATTTCAGACTCTGAATATGATATAGATGAACGTGAAAGTGAATTCTAAATATTAATTTATAAATAAAATCTTATTTAAACTACACTGCAATACTTGTTTACAGTCAATAGTCGCATCCCTAGTCATAAACAGTTACTAGTTATTACGGATTCAATTTTTATCATTGGATAATATCGTAAAAACATAAAAACGTCCAATAAGTTAATGTTTCTTTATTTAGAATTAAGTTTCGGATAATTAATTTTCTAATTAACTTAATAACATATTTAATTTACTATTATATAATCTATCTAGCTCATCTTTGGTATTTCACAACCATTTTAGTTTTTAATAAATCACAAATCATTTCTCAATGTTTCTTATTAAAATAGTTGTAGATACATACATATAGACATAATTCTTGATTTATTCTATAATATAATGTATTAAAGTCTTACTCGAGGTAATGCAGTTACATAAGAAGATAAAAACTTAAAATCAGCCACCAAACAAAGTATTGGAAAATAAAGATACATTCTAAAAATAATAGATAATCCAAAACCAGAAGTTTAATAGTAATTAAATAATTAATAAGGATCTATAAACTTAGGATACAATAGACTTATTTAGAAAATAAAATAGCATTATGATGACAGATGAGAAAGAAAAACCATTTTTCAACGTTTTTGTTGAAGAAAAATTATTCATTATAATTTATAATTAATATATTTCTTCATATTAAATTTGAACTTCATAATTTAATGTTGGATATGTATTATTATCAAAATGCCAATATTAAAATCTAAGCAATAATTTTCTCATTATAAACTTGTTCACATAAATCGGTATATCTTTATGCTAAATATTGTACATTTATACACCAAATTTAAGTTTAAAGATTTTTCAAAAATGAATACAGTTAATTTGACCATTATCAGCATTAACTTAAATATTGCATTTTTTTTTTATAAATTTTATTTAAATATAAATTATTAATATTTGGTACTCTAATTGGGTTTCATACCTATTTAAATTTATATTATTTATTTTCAGGATATTATCTGTAATGTTCAAAATTTAAACATTTATGTTTGAACAGCAACATAGTAAATAAAAAATGTTTACCCAGATCCATAACTAATGCTTACGACTATTTAGTATTCTGAATTATATACTAACCTCACCAACTCGATTTAATAATGTCATCTGATCACATTCTTCTAAAGCTCTAGGTCCTAAGGTAAACCAATAAATTGTTTTTTCTGGATCAAGCATTATAGTTGTATCATCAGTGAGTTTGTATTGAAGATATTGATCTTTTACAAAATCCTGAAATAAAATTTGTAATTTATAATGTATATTATGTACCACAAATATAATAAAAATAATACTTAAATAACATGCAGTTTTATAATAAGTGAGGTTAAAATTAATTTTTTTAATTTTAAGTCTCAAAAAAATTACAATATGTTGATATTTAAAAATACAATAGGATATTTACAACTTGTAGTAAAATAAAATATTTCTATTTCCAACATAACTCATTAATAAAACTTAAAGAATCAAATATTTAATCTAGTTTATGAAATTTAAATCCTAGCATTTTAGGTATACAGTGTGTTCACGCTAAGAGGTACCACTAAATATTTCAGTTTGATGATCTTGTACTGAAATGGGGTTTTCGCTGAATGACAGATAGTACTTAAATACACATTTTTAGATAAATTTCAAATTTGTAACACTTTCGATACGCGCATGCGCGATACAACTTACTTTTTTTTAAATGGTAACACCATTTTTTTTTTACATATTCAGATAGAGTATTTTTTTCTAAACAATTTATGTATAAAAAGTTTTTTTCTAATTACAATATTGGCATATGAAATTTAACGATGAAATTTAATATTTACGAGTAATTTGTTTTTGACGAAATTTAAAACTAAATTCAACTTATTTTTACTTATTACTAGTTATTAGTATCCAATATTGTTAAATACCTGTTTGCACACAGATAAGATATAAATAAACACTTTTTTTTATCGTAGTAATCATAAATAAGATAGCTAATTGAAGGTAATGAAAACTATAAAATTGTACACATTTTGAATTTGAAATCAATTTTTATTTATTTGCAATTACGTTCTACAGTTCTATCTGATAAATTGTTCGAAGTTTCCACCTTGATGTTCCAAACATGATTCCAAACGTTTTAATAATTCCGTTGATGTGGCAGCATTTATTTGTTCTCTTCTCAAATTACTACAAGCCAGTCGTATTTTGTTTTTTAAATCTTGGAGATTAATAGGTGGATCTGCATATACAACATTTTTTAAATGCCCCCATAAAAAAAAATCCAATGGGGTCAAGTCTGGAGATCTTGCTGGCCATGAAATTACTCCATGGGTACCAATCCATCGGTTAGGAAAAATTTCATTTAAATAATTTTTAACAATGATGGCGTTGTGTGCTGGTGCACCGTCTTGTTGAAAATACATATTTTCCCGCGTTGCTAATGAAACATTTTCTAGTAGTAATTGATTTCAAATTCAAAATGTGTACAATTTTATAGTTTTCATTACCTTCAATTAGCTATCTTATTTACGATTACTACGATAAAAAAAGTGTTTATTTATATCTTATCTGTGTGCAAACAGGTATTTAACAATATTGGATACTAATAACTAGTAATAAGTAAAAATAAGTTGAATTTAGTTTTAAATTTCGTCAAAAACAAATTACTCGTAAATATTAAATTTCATCGTTAAATTTCATATGCCAATATTGTAATTAGAAAAAAACTTTTTATACATAAATTGTTTAGAAAAAAATACTCTATCCGAATATGTAAAAAAAAAAATGGTGTTACCATTTAAAAAAAAGTGAGTTGTATCGCGCATGCGCGTATCGAAAGTGTTAAAAATTTGAAATTTATCTAAAAATGTGTATTTAAGTACTATCTGTCATTCAGCGAAAACTCCATTTCAGTACAAGATCATCCAACTGAAATATTTAGTGGTACCTCTTAGCGTGAACACACTGTATATAATTTTTTCAGATAGATATGGTTTTAAAATTTTATGATTAAGATTTTAAGTCAGTGTTTTGAATAAACTTGGAGATATTTGTTTAGCTATAATATGGAAATCACTGAAAAAATAAAAATATTTATCAGGTTGTAGTTTCATTGTATATATTTTTACTATACAACTTTATGCTTTTTATTAATTGATAAAAATAAATGTTATACTGGGAGATTGTTTTATCAAACAACACCTATTAGTTCAAAATCTATTGAATTTTTTAAAAAAATTTCCTTCATAATTTTCAATTAAAATAAAACAACATAATTAAAAAAAATTATATTTTTAATTTTTTTATTATTATAATTTCTAACATTTTTTAATTTTTTGAAAGAAAACATATTTTTTATTTCATTTTTTGAAGTAATTTTCTAATTAAAAAAGAACCACTGCTCTAAAATAAGAGCATTTCATCAACTAAAATTTTCTTAGAAAAAAATAATTTAAATTCTAAGTCAAAATCATTGTTTAAAAACTTAATACATTTATAGTATTAAATTATAATGTATATAATTTAAATAAATAAATATTTACTCCTTTAAAAATTTGTTTTATATAATCCATGTCTAAATTGAACTTCAGAGCAAATTTTTCCAATATATTCCACATTTGACCTGAAAATTATATTTTTATGAGTTCAATGATAATATTATTTATGGTTTGTAAATTGAATATAACTTTTAAAATTAAATTTCTAAAAACCTTCGCTGATTGGTGTACGAAGCATAACTAAAGCTCCAATTATTGGTTTAAGTAAATTACGATATTTTGATTCTTCAGAAGAACTTAATCGAGGAACATCGATCTCATCTATACTGTTTATAATTATGAACTGTTTGTGATCATTTTTAATATATGATATTGAAAATCCAAAAGTCTGAAATAAATTATTTGATAATGAAATCTATACAAAAATACTTCTGAAATAATTTAAACAGTACATTTTTTAAAGTGTATGCCACTTCTTCCATAACTTTTTCATAATTTTTTCCAATATTGCGACCCTTGAAGACAGTTTTCATCAGATCATCTTTTTTAATTACATTTTTAGATTTCATGTGGTGTGATACAAGGTATTGAACACAAAGGATAGTGGCACTTTTATTTGGACTTCTAAAACAAACATGAAATTCAAATTCAATTAATTATTAATTTTATTTAAATCATATATAGTACACTTTCTTTGTGAAGTGGTCAGATTACTACTAATTGTTATCATTAATCAATAGTGATGGAAATTTTTATTTTACGATTATAATAAAAAATAATTATTTAACACTTACGCAATTTCAATTGAATCCTGATCGTCTTCCATAATTAAAAAAAAATAATCTATAACACAATTGAACTAGTATAATATTAAAATGGTGTTTCGGGAATATTCAAATATTAACAAAAATCAATTAATTAACTATATTTAATTGATTTTTCTTCTCACGATACCGAATTAATATTAAAATATTTATATTATACTATTATACTATAACACGATATAGAATAAAATTCTAATTCTAATTTTCTTAACTAATAACTTAGTACTATAATAATCAGAATTACGCGGTCGCTCTCCGGTTATCATTGGAGGGAAAAGTTGAACACATCCGTGTGAACGTTATCTACGACAATTTATTATCATTAAATATGATAGCGAAATAGAGGTGAATAGTGAATACCGAATTTTATTATTTTAATGCTACGAAAATTATTTATATTTTAGGGACCTATGGTACAAATTTAATAACACACAAAACGTAGACTGTATTGTGTTGAAATCATCGTCCATCGGATTTGGACGTCGAAGTCAACGACAACAAACTTAAAAAATATCACTTGGTTTTTCTAGAAATTCATTTGGATTCATCTTCGAAGTCTTGTCATTCGTTGGCAACGGATTGCTAGTCAAACGAAATCATAGTGATCGGTCACTGTCGCGTACCATGAACAGAACCAGCGCGACTGCAATCAAAGAACATTACGAAGAGACGCGACCGGGAATTAGCTCGTACTTGGACTGCTTGACTAGATCGTACGGCACAGGTGTGGGCGCGCTGGCGTTCACGTTCGCCGTGGTGCACGTGACGCAGCAGATCGTCATCAAGCGGTTTCCTGCGGTGCGCAGGACCCATTTAGCCGTATCCGCGGTAGCTGGTGTGGTGGCTTCGTACATCGCGGCCAAGGACAAGGTGCGCAAATGCAGGGACTCGTGGGCCGCTTCGCGCGAACAGTGACGGCCGTGCGACGCGGTCGTCTCGTCAGGTGGTACAGTGGAGGCGGTGACGACGGCGTGGAGGACGTTCAGGCCAGAGAGCTGATCGACAGACAGCTGAAACTGGCGCCGGCCGGTGGGCATCAGGTGCTGATCGTCCAGCCGTACATAAAGTGGGGCCCCAAAAAGGACAGGAGTACGAAACCGGACGTCAAGTTGGACGAGAGTCGGTCACTGGTGCGCACCCTGGACGAATGGTCGGTGACGGACACGTTATTGGTCGGCCTCACGTCGTACCGGAAGCACACGTTTTTCGGTCCCGGCAACGTGGACGCGATCGCTCTCCGGGTGGCTCGCGACCGCCGCATCACGGCCGTGTTCGTTAGTGTCAATGTGCTGAAGCCGATTCAACACCAGCACCTGGAACACCGTTTCGGCGTGCCTGTTTATGACCGATACCTGATGGTGGTGCAGATTTTCCGCAGGCATGCCGTTACTAGGGAGGCCAAGCTGCAGGTGGCCCTGGCCGAGCTGCCGTACATCTGGTCGCGGATACGCGGTACCCAGGACGGGTACACAGAGCGGCTGGGCACTGAGGCTGGCCAGATAGCCCTCAGTGGCAAGCTGATGTACGACGACAAGAAGGACTTGCTCAAGGCATACGAGAAGAAGCTCAAAAAGTTGGTAGACAAGCTGAGGAGCCACCGACAACATCTGCGCTACAATAGGTCCAACAAGGACTTGCCCGTCGTCGCCATAGTTGGATATACCAATGCTGGCAAAACGTCACTGGTCAGAGCGTTAACAGGTGATGCGGGTCTAGTTCCTAAGGACTGCTTATTTGCTACACTAGACGTAACCGTTCACGGTGGTGTGTTGCCTTGCAACATGACTGTATTGTATATAGACACCATAGGTTTCATATCGGATATACCTACTAGACTCATTGAACCGTTTGTCGCCACATTGGAAGATGCTATGTTTGCAGATGTCATTGTTCATGTACGGGACATGTCTCACCCCGATGTTGTGGCACAAAAGGCTCATGTAGAGGAGACACTTAAGACCTTAAGTATCAATCCAGACTTGTTGAACAATGTGATTGATGTCGGCAACAAAGTTGATCGTTTAGAGAATATTGAGAATGATGGAAGTTCGGTATTAATATCTTGTACTACTGGAAAAGGTTTAGACGAGCTCAAAAAAAAAATAGAAAGACAAATAATTAAAACTACTGGTAGACGAATTATTAAAATACGAGTACGCACTGGCCGTGATGAATATGAATGGTTAAGGACACACACAGCTATTGTTAATATTGATACAGATGGTGATTATTCTGTAATGGAGGTTATTGTTACCCAATCTGATTTAGATGTGTTTAAAAGTTTGTTTATACGTAAAAATATAAACAATTAATTGTATTGTAGAAAATGTTTTTTATTAAATAAATGTTTACAAATTTTTAGTTAATAAATGACTAGTTTTTATTTTACTAAAACAAAATAATGAAAATTACAAAAAAAAAATAAAATAAAAAATATTTACATTGATGGTCAGTCTTTTTGGTATTAGGATTACATTACCACAGATTAAAAAAATATAAAATCACAAATAATAAAAAAAAAACAAAAAAAATTGTACTCGTTTGTTCAAATTTTGTTACAGGAAAGAATTGACTAATATATATGTAATGGAACCAAATTCTCCTGAAACAAAACAGATATACATTAAAATGGTATTAAGTAAAATACATTTCATGTAGATGCACTAATAAATATTTGAAAAAAAGTATTAATAAAAACGGATCTTTCAAATTATTTTTTATTCTTTTAATAAAACAAATAATACAAAAACGCGTAGTGTTTTTAAATAATTTATATTTATGTATATATTAACAAATTAAATTTTAAAGATGTACCTGTTATTTAAATATTTTCATTCAATTTTGATTTCTTTTTTCCTTCATATTATCGGTGTATTACTGAGTTTATAGTTATTTATAACTTTTGTATGTTATTTTTTTTTTTTTTTTTTGTAAAAGGCAACGAGTTAGTTACAGTAAACATTTGACATTATTAAACTTTAAAACAACTTACCACAATTTTAATATAATTATATTCTTATAATATGTGTTCCTATAAAAATATTATCACTTGCAAGTTAAATATATTATGTATGGTGAAGTGTATTAAACCTCACAATTTTTTTTTTTTTTTTTAAACAAAATTAGAGAGTTATTCTCTAAAATAGGGGTTTCCAAGGCCGCCTGAATCATCGGCAATCAACATGATAATAATTTATGCACTTTTTAGGGCATCACCACTCCTCTTTAAATTGGTTTTCATTTGCTGGAGGTTAATTTATGTCATAAATATCATGGCTATATATATATATATACACTCCTAAAACGATAAAATAATGATCAATTTAAATATTATTAGTTATCATTTATCATGTTTTTTTTTTTATCCAGTGGATGTTTTTCATGGTGAGGAATTAGGTTTGGGTTGTGTAATATTTGGGTGTAAGGATTCACCTGAAATTTTATTATTATCAATTATCAAATTATAAAATATTGTAAGGTTGACGTGTATATATGATATATGTTACAGCTGACGTGCAAATGGTGGTCAATGTTAATATTTGCCAACAATACAAACAGTTATTTACTCATGTAGTCAGACATAATACTTCAAACCAATAAATAAGCAACAATTAAATTATACTAGATTTAATACTTATGTAAGTAGTAATTATAATGTAAAACTGTGGAAATAGAGTAAAAAAATATACACCATTAAAATTGTTATTTTATAGAATTAAATAGACACATTCAATTTGATTATAAATTATAATTGATAACCTCAAATTACTTTCATATATCCAAAACGTGGGGATACAATTTAAAGTATTAACTATTTAAAATGTTAACAAAACCACAATATGCACATCATTAATAACATACATGAATATAACAACTATTTATATCAATAATAGATATTGTGGGTAAATAATATAATATGTATAGCAAAATGAAGTAAATTGTAAATATTTTATTTTATTTTTTAAAAGTTTTTATTTTATATAAATTTTGTTGTACCTAACAAACTACAATATTATTGTAAATCTAAATATCTATCGATAGCATTGGATTACATGTAATCGATATTTTTATAATAAAATGATAAAAAAAAATAATAATAAATAAGTAAATAATAACTGTATAAAACAATAAATACTACAAATATGTTTTTAAATTTATTAATTAGCAATTACATAATATAGAAGTGACAGTTAAAATGAATCCAACGGATCTATTAAGATTTATTGAAACACATGAATATAATAAAATAATAATTAAAAATATTAGTCAATTGGTTTGTTATTATTATTATAATAATCATCAATCATTACTGGGTTGAAATTAAAATTTTTAATTTTATAATAAATCAGCATCTGTAATATTAGCAGCAAGCAACAGATGAATTTTATTTTAAGCGGATTGTTACCTCTGCCACAATAGAATTTTTTTAATAATGCCCTAATGTTTATTATTACTGTTTTTATTAATCATTTAACTAATAAATACTTAAGTGATTGTGTTTTAAATTCTTATAAGTGCAATTTAGTATTAGAAAATAATTATTTGTAGATAAATTTATTTCATTATTTATTTATTTTCTTGATATTATACAGGTAAAGGAAGTCAATTTTTTTTATCAATATTAATAATTATTATTTATTGAATAAAAATATATTGTGGCAGTGGTGCTATCCTTTAGTAACAATGTATGTTCTAAGTATCTATAAAAAGTAATAATCAAAAATACATCAAAAAATTATAAATATATTCCTATAGACAAATTCATATCTAAAAAAAAATAATAAAATAAGTAGCCCAACAATATTTGATATAAAGTTATAATAATAATCTAATCAAGAAGTTTTGTGCAGAACTTGTATTTTAAATTCCATTATACAAATTATATTTATTGAAATTTTATTCCTTACACAATTATGTTTAAATTATAATATTTTATCTTAAGAAAAATATGATTTGGAATTCAACATCCCAACGTAATACATAACTTATTTTTGGATGTACAATACTTTTATATTTTATATACGTATATAAAAAAAAAAAAAATATAAGATTATCTTAATTTGTTTTACTAAGTGGAAAATTATTTTTGAGATAATTATGAAATGTCAAAACATTAAAAAAATTATTCTACCCATTATTTTTCTTTGTTGTCAATAATCATTTACAATAGAAATAGTCCTGAAAAATACCTGATTATTTTTGTCTGGTATATGGAGTATTGCGACCTCCATACCGACTACCTTGATTGCCAGTCGGTTTGGATGGTCCACTACTACCGCCAGTATTGTAGTTTTTCCAGCCACGGCCGCCACCACTTTGAGAATTATCTAAAAACAAAAAAAAGGATAAGTTATAATTTTGAATACAATACTTTACATTTAAACCATAATAGTGTTTTACCTTGTGAATATGAATTTCCTGAGTAATAATCATCATTACCGCCTCCATTGTATGTTGCTACACCACCATATCTATAAAATATCCATTTATTTTATTATCTGATTTAATTGTAATAAATGAATGATTAATTTTAAAAAATGTATTAAGTTAATATGAAATAATTTACCCAGAATCAAAATGAGAATAATGAGATGAACCAGAATCACCATAGCCACCGTTACCAGGATAAGCATTTGATCCTTCCATTGCTGATCGAGCCCTATCCAATATGCTCATTACTTTGGCTTTTCCTGGAACTGGAGCTCTTGGCATACGAGGTGGCTGAGGTGGCATTTGGCGAATTACTGCAGGCGGAGGTGGTGGAGCATGAATTATTGGTCCTGGATGACGAACAGGTGGAGCACCTCCAAATTGTTGCATTTCACGGGCTTGTTCTTGTGCAATTTGATCATTATGATCAGGTATCAAAAACTTCCGAAGTTCTGCAAGCGCATAAGCAAGACGAGCATAAGCTTCAGCAGGAGGGGCATAAGCAGTTACTTGCACATGAAGTTCATCAGCAAGGTGTGCAAATTTTGGGTTTAATGAACTTCTCATTTCATCTTCCTATAAAATATAAATGTTTTAATATACATATTAGTTTAAATACTGATAAAGATAAGTATTATTAAAACTAAACACATACTTTTTCTTTGTTGCGCATTGATCCTTTGCCCAATATTGCCATTTTAGTCATAGTATCTTCTTGGAGACGTTTTAAAGAGTTTCCTTTAGGCCCCAATAGTTTACCAACAAAGTTGAACTGAAAATTTAAAATTAATTATAACATTTCAAAAAATTATATTGGAATATCATTAAAGATTAAAATATGTTAAAAATGAATACCCTTGGGAATTCTTTTGCTGGAACCATAATTTTGGAAGTTAGACGAATAGGTTTATCACTATTTATGTCCAAATAAGCAGATTCTGGTTTGCTATTGGTGTTTTGTGCTCTGGCAATTTCTAGAATAAAAATAAATTGTACATATATCATATTACATAGGTAATTTAATCAAAATGGTATTTTACATGGTTTTTTTTCAAATTTATTAAAATATTATGGTTAACATAATTATTAAAATATAACTTCCTATATAGATGAAAAATTAATATGTTTAAGGATAACTTAAATAAAAACCACAACTCAATTGTGTTTAAGTCAGCTATGTTGTACATGACTAGCTTATGTTGCCATGTTTATAAGTACGGCATTTAAACCGATCTACTTTAATTTAATTTTAACTTCACTGTGGGGAAATACGGTTTGGAAAAATTGGAAGTCAAATATTTTATGACAAATTCTCTAATTTAAATACCATAAACAAGGGTCTGTTTATGGAATTTTATACTATGATTTAAGTTTATAAGTTGAATTTTGAGGAATAAATCCAAGAGTAATAGCCAGTTTGCTTGAAGGAGAAATTTAAAAGTCAGAGCTGTTACATAGAAGCAATATTTTATCATACAATGTTTGAGATTACGTGTTTATAAATAGAGCTGTTCACACCATAACGATAAAATGTCATACAATGCCTCAAAAACTGTTGGATACACTTTAATGTTATAGACGATAAAAATATTATACAACAGTATTTTTGTACAATGAAATATTACTTGTGTATAACAGCCCTTAAACAAATGTTTAAAATTATATCAATTTATTTCACTAAAATATGTAAATGTTACAATTATCTATCTAATTGAAATCTGATTAAAATCTAATTAAAATCTCTTGAGCACTAGGAAAAACATATTTATACCTACAATAGAACGTACAAATTACCTTCTTAGCATAATTTCTTTTTTTTTTTAATGGAAAAAGAAATAGGTACTTAAGATTTCTTGTTACATACATAGGTATGAATAAACTCCAACTGGTAAATAAGGTGATACACATA